GAGCTGCAATGGGCCTATCGAACTTTAGAAGTCTTAATTTTTAATGGACAGGGCGAAACCGCGTAATATCCGCAGAAAAACCTCTATTAGCCAGTGCAACAACCAGCAGCGAACTTAAACACTGTCAAACCAAATATGACGTCGTCTTCGGGATTCGAACCCAAGCTACATTGTTGGGAGGCTGGTGCTTTCACCACTGCACAGGGCACCCAACGACTGTTTCCTCCTTAATACAAAAAAAAACTTTTTAGGCCATCCAGAGTATTTTAGACCTCTATAGATGCATTCTAAGCAGCGTTATGAAATTTGTGCCTGTGGGACATCACAGGGGAACTTAAGTCTTTTCGAAATTACTAGGGCTTCAGTATTATTTTCCGGAAAATTTTAGATGCAATGTAATGTATCACGAAAGTGATAATTTTACTCATTCTTCTCTCTATCACATTTCTGAATCCGAGAATGTTAGGTTTCCATTTTTGAACGAAAAATAGCCTAACCTGGGCAGTGAAATGTGAAAAATTAATATTAATCAGAAAGTCTTAGGGAATTTACTACGAAAGCTTCGAAATTTGTACATGAATGGAACGGTGACATGTAGAAATTTTAAGTTGTCCTCAGGGAACAGAAAATTCGAGGCAATATTTGCTTCTCCGAATAGATACTTTACAGAAAACAGTTGTTCGGTGCTCCTGACTGTAACACCCTTGAGACCCGATGAAATTTTCCGACAAGCTTTTCTCGGATCCTTGAGAAACCTAGCAAGCATTTTACTATTGTCATGGATCAATATGACTAACTTCCTTAATACTCTATGTCACATGGCTTGCTTTTGTCTAAAAACAGTTAAAATATTTCAAAGGAAATGAGGAAAACAAAATCAAGTGATACAATCATTGTTATATTTATTTATTTATCATTATTTTTTTCACGGCTCTTATCGAGGACTTTAATAGACCATTTCACAGGGGCACCCAACGAGAATATAGTTCAAAACCACTTAAAAATAGCATTGTTAAACGTATTTTAGTATTTAAAAAGGTAGATATAGGCATATTTTATCCCCTAAAAATTTTTCATCTGTTCGGATTTCCTAGCTGAAAGTCTAGTGATCTGAAAATTATAGCGATCAAAACTTACCTTTTCGAAAATTTCAGCCAGAAAAAGGCTCCCGAAAATTCTAGGTGACCTTTTTAGGGCAAAAATCCATTAAAAATGGTCAATTATACCATTTTTTTAGATGTTCGAAAATCCTAGGAGAGGCGGGCAAGCAAGAAATTTTACAACAAATGTTCCGAACTTCTAGATCTCAAATCGTCCTCCGAACAGATATTTTCCGAAGATTGACGTTGGGTGCCCCTGATTTCAGTTTATTCACGGAAGCTTCAAATTAGGACAATTGGTCACGTGACGTAATAAGTATCAACAGTCTGACGGACAACATATATTGCGACCGCGTTTAAAGCTGTTAAGACCTGTCAATGATTTTAATTGGGAAAAAGCTGTAAATTTTACTCTACAAATGAACCCATTTCCAAAGAAAAACCTGTTTTTGTGACGTTACCTATTATATGTCGATATATATGACTTTCCTTCGATGAAACAAGTTAATTTCTGATGTTTGCAAAGTTCAAGGCCTAATAAAAATACAACCTCAGACCAGGAGCCGATTAGCCTACTCAGACTAAAGATGATTGGGGTGCCCCCAGTCCTCATTGCTCTGGAGATGGTTGCCTTTCTCATAGGTTGTAAATCAAAAACCTTTGAACTTTAAACTAATGTGTTGCGAAAAAATATTCACTCAGTAAAGGGTTTATTCCAGCTGTTATTAACTGGAAGCAGTAAGTGGAAAGTTTTTTTTTCTGAATGCCGACGGTGAGGTCATTTGCAAATTTTATGATTCAAAGTGGTTTCTCCTTGTTTTGTTTGTCATGACGAGATCAAACTTGAGTCAGAATCGTACGATGAGAAAAGCTGAAGTGATGTAGTTATTTATTAACAAGTGTAGTTTTGGATGCTTGAACTATACTTTTGCGAATATCATTTGCTCCAGACAGAACTCGCGCAGAATATTCCTTGAAAGGTTTTTGTGTCACTTTTTATCGAGGTGGATAACCTTTACAAAAAAATACTTCTGCGACTTTTGAGGGTTGTTTGTCGTTTAACATCAACCTTTGGAAACTTGGTTCGTAAGTTTGGGTATCACACGCTTTTAACACTCAAAACTCGTGTGTTTAGAGTTATTCTTTGCTATATTTTATGTCTCATAATTAATTATCACTTTCGCTGCCAAACTGAATTGTCATAGAATGCATAACTGTTTGGTTGTATTATATGCTGTTCACAATGCGGGCTTAGACTCTCATTCAAGAGGATTAACTTCACAATGTGTTATGACGTCAATACCTTGGGCCTCGTTCAATCACTGTGTCTGAATCAGTAATTGCGCGTTTGGAAAACCACCTGGGACCAAGCTAGCTCAATATGGTGGCACTTAAAGCTGGTTTTAATCGGAAAACGAAGTGGGCTCGGACCCTCGATGAAATGACAACCAGTTCTAAAATAGGCACAGGCACCCAACGAGAATATAGTTCAAAACCACTTAAAAATAGCATTGTTAAACGTATTTTAGTATTTAAACGGTAGATATAGGCATATTTTTATCCCCTAAAAATTTTTCATCTGTTCGGATTTCCTAGCTGAAAGTCTAATAATCTGAAAATTATAGCGATCAAAACTTACCTTTTCGAAAATTTCAGCCAGAAAAAGGCTCCCGAAAATGCTAGGTGACCTTTTTAGGGCAAAAATCTATTAAAAATGGTCAATTATACCATTTTTTTAGATGTTCGAAAATCCTAGGAGAGGCAGGCAAGCAAGAAATCTTACAACAAATGTTCCGAAAATTCTACATCTCAAATCGTCCTCCGAACAGATATTTTTCGAAGATTGACGTTGGGTGCCCCTGATTTCAGTTTATTCACGGAAGCTTCAAATTAAGACAATTGGTCACATTACGTAATAAGTATCAACATAACTGACAGCATATATTGCGACCGCGTTTAAAGCTGTTGTTACCTGTTAATCATTTTAATTGGGAAAAAGCTGTAATTTTATGCTACAAATGTACCCATTTCCAAGAAAAACCTGTTTTTGTGACGTTACGTATTACATGTCGATATATATGACTTTCCTTCGATGAAACAAGTTAATTTCTGATGTTTGCAAAGTTCAAGGCCTAATAAAAATACCACCTCAGACCAGGAGCCGATTAGCCTACTCAGACTAAAGATGATTGGGGTGCCCCCAGTCCTCATTGCTCTGGAGATGGTTGCCTTTCTCATAGGCTGTAAATCAAAAACCTTTGAACTTTGAACTAATGTGTTGCGAAAAAATATTCACTCAGTAAAGGGTTTATTCCAGCTGTTATTAACTGGAAGCAGTAAGTGGAAAGTTTTTTCCTGAATGCCGACGGTGGGGTCATTCGCAAATTTTATGATTCAAAGTGGTTTCTCCTTGTTTTGTTTGTCAGACGAGATCAAACTTGAGTCAGAATCGTACGATGAGAAAAGCTGAAGTGAAGTAGTTAATTATTAACAAGTGTAGTTTTGGATGCTTGAACTATACTTTTGCGAATATCATTTGCTCCAGACAGAACTCGCGCAGAATATTCCTTGAAAGGTTTTTGTGTCATTTTTATCGAGGTGGATAACCTTTACAAAAAAATACTTCTGCGTCTTTTGAGGGTTGTTTGTCGTTTAACATCAACCTTTGGAAACTTGGCTCGTAAGTTTGGGTATCACACGCTTTTAACACTCAAAACTCGTGTGTTTAGAATTATTCTTTGCTATATTTATGTCTCATAATTAATTATCACTTTCGCTGCCAAACTGAATTGTCATAGAATACATAACTCTTTGGTTGTATTATTTGCTGTTCACAATGCGGGCTTAAACTCTCATTCAAGAGGATTAACTTCACAATGTGTTGTGACGTCAATACCTTAGGCCTCGTTCAATCACTGTGTCTGAATCGGTAATTGCGCGTTTGGAAAACCACCTGGGACCAAGCTAGCTCAATATGGTGGCACTTAAAGCTGGTTTTAATCGGAAAACGAAGTGGGCTCGGACCCTCGATGAAATGACAACCAGTTCTAAAATAGGCACCCAAAGAGTTTGAGTGCTTACACACGTTATAAACAATTTGCGTCTTGTTAAGGACTTCAGAAGTGTGGCTTGGCTTTTGAGTTCGATTGCCAGTCAATTCGTGAGTGTACTCAGTGGAACAAAGGATAGATGCAAAATGTGTACATTTCTGAAAGTTAAATTAAAAGAGCTAATTACTTGCTTACACTGTGGCATGCTTGGGTTGCTTTGAATTACCCAGTCGAAATAATCCGGAACTCTTTTTATAAGAATTTATTGAAATGTCCTCAAAATTTCTCATCATATTTACAAAATCACCTCGACTTGGATCAGTGTTTTGCGAGTAGTTACACTTGTTAATTAGTTTGCATTTGGAATTGATCTTATCCTAGATCGATGAATATTTATAAGCATTTGTTTACTGCTTAGAGCCAATAGCCGACCGTCTTTCGTTCGTATTTGTTAGCTACGGGCACAAAGGAACAAACACTGAAATACATCGTGGAATATTACTGAAATTGTAGGCCGTATTTCCTAGCTCAGTACTAAGGATCATTTATGTGTTCATGTGGACGGAGTACAGAGTATACGAATTTCTGAAGTGACGTTGAAGGTGAAATTTTGATTTTTTTTAACTACTGAAAACTTTCGTTGTGTCTACGGAGAACTTGCACTGCAGCCAGACAGAGACGAAATCAAGTTTACTGTTTATTGGATGACAAGTGTACGACGAAATACAACAACCGATTGTATTGAAACTCTACAAGTTGGTCTTTTATCGTTTTGTTACAAGAGCGGAGATTAATGTGTGTTCATCTGTGACATCCTTTGCGAAGAGAGTGAAGTGTTGATGGTTTATATTCATGTATTTTAATGAGCGAAACTTCCCTACACAATTCTCGCCGACCGTATTTTGAGCATGACTACAAAAGACGCCGGTGGATCAAGTGATCCTGGCGTAGATGTTGATTTTACAGAGAGTGTAGCCAGTGCGAAGCGTGATATGGTCTTGCGTTTCGTGAAAGATCAAGAATCTCTGCAAACTTCGCAAGTGGTTTTGAAAATCGTTGACGACGAAACCATCGATTTAATAGATTCAGCTCTCGTTGTCAAGGGAGAGGAACCAAAACTAACAAGCTCTGATAACAGCGCAAAGCTTAAACAGAATGATCCCCGATCTCTATTAGGACAAACATCAGCTTTGACTCTGGACGCGGAAAAATCTAGTGGTCCAGACAGTATAATTGTCCCGCGTCCGCCATCGGGACGACCTCGTACACGAAGCCTTGGCAGCCGTAAGCGATCAGTACCGAGAAATTTATCCCGTCAGTCTTCGGTGGATAACATTACTCCTAGAGGCGTAAAAGAAGAACAATCGCATTTTAACACCGGTAATTTGATCGCTCAGGAATCTATAGCAAGAACCGAAATGGATAATACTTTGCCGAGCACCGCCGATAGTTCGTGTTCGGATGTGAATTTAAACGCTTCCTGGCCACGCGGATCCAGAAAACTCTTCATCCCTTTCCGGAAAAAGTCCGTCTATGCGACTGGAGAGACTCCGTATTATTACAACACTCCTTTGGAAAACTTTTCGGGAATCGATAATCATTCGGAAGCTCTTCGTCCTCGATCAAGCCAAAGTTTTCAGCGCGTACGAGTGGGTGAAATATTGACCGCCAGAATTTCATCGGCCAGCGAGTGCGAGCGAATCTCCTGCGATGCCTCGTCGCTCACAAGGCCGCCCTCGTACGCCAATAAAGTGCACCGGAACTCGCGGCGCAGAACTTACATTAATTTCAACAGACTGGACGCGCAGATCGCCTTGGAGGGGCCGCTTGAGCTGGAACAAGTCCATCCGTCTGAGTTACCGCTTTATAGAAGCAACTCGGCGGCATCTTCAAGTGCACCGTACGCCTTAGTACATGTGCCGCCCATTGGATGCGAGGGCCCCGCGCCTTCAAGCAGTTAATGAAAAGGATGAGGAATTTGTAAATGAACCAAGGTATTAATAAAAAATGTCTTACTTGTAACTCGAAAAAATGGCAATCACAAAAAGCGCGCGGGGTCGTGCTGCCCGCTCAGTAGGGTTGATGCGAATGGTCAGACAAGGGATTCATTTACTAAAACAATTGCCTTATAAGGGGTAGCTTTGTAAAGTACCTAAATAAACTATGCCCCGGCGGTTAATTGTTTGACTTAGTTTGGATAGATACAATCTGAGAGAGAAATTTTAACTCAGTTGGAAAGTCACGTATATTTGATCGTGGATTTAGCTAAGTAAAAATTTTGAGTCATGTATTCTAGTACACAAGTTCTACACTTCAGGTGCAAAAATGTCTGCCGTCATACAAATGTCTTCAAACTTTTAGAAAATCGCCTGTCTGTTATTCAGTGTCTTAGCGAAAATTCTGCAGAAATACTGAAAAATGGACCATCTACCATGTGAGGCTCTGTCCTCACACATCAGGGCAGGCTGACGGTTTCACTCTTCCTCAAGAAGGTAAAACTTGGAACTAATTTATTCCCTGTTTCTCTATTGTTTTGACGACGTAATATACAAAACCACAGGAAAGTACTGCTCGAAACTCACTTGTACCACTCTGTACTACTTAACAACAGAATATTATTAAGCTCTATAGATTTCCTCTACAAGTTCACATTCATCCACAGATTCGAAAGCTAGAACCAGCTTGTACCACACTCGTCCAATTGTATAGCTTAGAGCTGGTCCATACGAGCGACGCAAGCGCAAACGTACCCCAAAATCTACGTGTGAATCAGTTACAACAATGCCAGCCAAGCGCTGACCAGGGGCCTCTGGTACCTACGAAAGAAATGAAAAAGTTTCTGCTAGTAGTAGCAGACAAAGATTTCATCTGAATGGTCACATTTGTATTTTTGAGACAGACTAGTCGTGCTTATTCTTCCATACACAGAGCCAATCAGTAGAATAGTAAAATAATATTATCACTGAGAGATAACTACTGTTCGGTGGCCTTCCTCGATTTCATCTGACGTGTTGCACATTGCAGAAATTTTACTAGAAATCATTATTGACACAAGATCTAAAGTATTGTTATAGGAGTGGAAAAATCAAATGTCATGTGGTGTAATGTATTTAATATATTTCAGTTATTACCCATGTATTTTTTATCATCTCAATGTGATGGTTTTCATTTCCTAGAATCGTCTTTTTGTTATTACACAAACTAAGAGCTGATTGCTCCAATGTAAGACTGGATAAACTCTAATTTTTTAAAAAATATATTAATTATAAAACTCTTTCTTTTATTTGCAAAGTTCTCTTTCTTTTCGACTTTTAATTTTTTATACATGCAGCTATTAAATATTTTTATGTTTTTAAATGAGTGGGCTTAAGTAAAGGATAACTTCATGAATTTGTTAAAATGATAATAATTTATAAGCTTTTTTGAAGGGGGAAACCTGATGAGTTAGAGGGCAAAAAATATGGAATTGTTGTACATAATTCACTGGTTTAAAACGAAGCCAAACAGGCAAGATGAATAGCACTTGCAAAATGATCACACTAGTCAAGTGTGTGTTTTATTTGTAATTATTTTTATATACTTGAGTTTGTCGAAAAGGGGACAAATACGTTTTGTTTGGTATCTCATTTGTTGATCTCAGTTTGAGCGAGCGGTCTTCATCCACCTTTTATGATATTACGTTGGGATAACTTTGTGATATCTCACTGGTAACCCTGTGAATTCGTTAGTCTGTAAGATCATCGAGGTCTAGCCTGTGATCATGCCCTCCCTAGTACTCTCTATAGTTAGAAACTAAAATACAGTTTTGCTGTAATAACTTTAAAAAGTCTGATCGCAGGTTAGTCGAAATCAAGCGCTTGCTATAACCGGCGGCCGTAATAGCTTCAAATCCCGGGTGGAACGTCCAAACCACTTCGGAAACCAGAAGCACTTTCCATTCAACCTAAACGCCCGGTTAAATTTTCGGCAACTTCCAGTAGCGAATGGAACAGAATTGTCCAAAATTTCCAAAAAAAGAGGACAACCTCGCGAGGTATACCCCAATTTTCCAACAAAGTTTCTCGGAAGTTTTCTTTCCATTCAACTTTGCTCCCAGAATTTCTAGAATTTTTTTCCGGGAAATGTTTGTAGGAATCATTTATAATGATATTACCTTCCCCAACATTGGCCTGTGTTTTCAAACTGTTGAAAGTTTTGGTTGAATGGAAAGCGCCCCAGGATGGCCTCTCGTTATGGTATTAATGCGTAAGTGCTAAATCTCGACGAACTTACGAAACAGTCGGGCACTTTAAAGAGTCTAGTGTCGCAGAGTAAACTCAAACCCTGTTTAACCAGCATCTAATTTCCCCTTGAAATATGCACCGCTTAATCAAACATAAAAGTTATGAGAATAACGAAAATGATCACAGGCATCAAGGGTATTTGAGGTAAAAGGTGTTTGTTCCTTTTTTGGGCATTGGTATTTTGTAAAGTTAAAATACAAAAATAAGATGGACATTCGTTGGAAGTTTAATATATACCGAGCATAACTCTGTGAGAATAAAGAAATAGAAATGATTGCATAGTGTTATTATTATATTATGACAGGAAAACTTTTTAATGCCCTAGACTGAAATAGTAGCCACAACGGTTGCATAGCAAATTGTTGCTGTCGTTACTTTTTTTGTTATTGTTCTTATTACTGAATGGTCATCACTGCAATTAACCGCCCAAAAGGTTTTCGCTTCAGCAATGCGTGGTTTTAACCTGTAGTACGGGACATTAAGCAGTCTAGGTTTACCTAAAATCAGTACTAGCTGCATGCACATGAAATAGCTGACTTCTGTTTTCCAGCCACAACAATGAGGTGACAACTCTTTTGAGGCGTGTGTTGAGATTAGCCTTACCAGAATGAGTTGTTCGCCATACTTCTAGCTAACGGATATTTCTAGACTTGGCTGCAAGGCGACCTTTTGAAACTCTCGCGTTTGGAAACTTCATTCCGATTAGTTCACTCAGTAAAAATTTGCATTAGAATAAAGTCGAATTTTTCTGGAATTAAATCCGTAGGGACCTTATCCTAGTTAGGAAAAAGAAAAAATATTCGTCGTCATGTGTTTACGTTTTGCATGAAATAAGGAAGTTTAACGCCGTAGTAGCTCATTGACGATAAGAGTGTGATGCACGTGCAGACTTTTTGCAGTTAACGTTCTCGCAGTGGAGTCGAGCGGCAGGCAGCACGTGCGCACAGGTTACCACGGGCCACAGCAAGTAAAACCATAATAAACCGCGGCACTTAAGCGCTTTGTTTCAGTATGGTTTCGTGTGTTTCTAGAAAAGCGGAGACAAAAGTTTAGAAACTTTTGTCTCCGCTTTTCTAGAAACAAAAAGTTTCCGCTTTTCTAGAAACACACGAAACCATACTACAAAGCAACATTTTAGTAAATACTTGTGGTTATCATTAATCCATTCGTAATCCATTTATTCAAGTATGTCATCTTTGCTGCTTCAATGTAAAATGTGTAATGTTAGGCGTTTTGACTTTTTATTTAAAACTGCAATTTTTCAAACTTTTAACTTCTCCTTTTTTTTAAAAGACATTTCACTTTTTCTCGGATTGTCGATCAATAATTAATGAATTTGTTTCAGTAAATCTGATAATATTGTCGGCATAGTCGAAATTCCATTGTTATATAACAGATACCAACGAACAACCGAGAATGGGACTGTTGATGCCGGTATAACTTGCGGGTACTTGACTTTGTGTTTCGTGTTTATACATCTCCATAGCTACAAATGTACAGCCATGTGCTGTTTATGTTGCTAGCTATTTATGTCTTAAGATCTTTATCTTTTTTTCTATTTTTAAGTTTTCTAACTCATGCACATCTCTTCTGGAAACTTCTATACATTAATTTAGGCTTCCTGTATCACCGGTATGTTGGTCGTTTTACTGTATGCTTAGTCTTCTTAGTATCGTTCAATTCAATTTTTTTCTGTTATTAGCTCCTGTCAGCTGCTTGACAATCAGCTGATAAAATGAGCTCGTTGACGAAATGCCGGTCTCTCTAAGCTCTCCTTTCCCGCGGGTCCTTTCCGACATTTCTTTGTCAATGAAATCAGTGACATTCTCGTTAAAATGGCCATAGCCTTCCGCAACAATCATTAACTGAAGAACCCACAATAATGAGCATAACGCTGAACCATAACATGTAAAGACTTTGTTTTTAAAATGTATGCACAAAACTGACAAAGTAAGCGGACTTCTCGAGCTCTACACCCAACTGTGAGCTAAACATTAAACATGCACTTAACGTGTTTTTGTAACAATAAAAAGTAGTAAAATTATACAAATGTGAAAAACCCCTGCGGCTTAGTTATCTAATACGTGTCGTCCTGACTTGGTTAAGGAACACCGCACATGTTCCAGTCTATCAAACTTGTATTGAGTACTTTGAAATAAAAGAGAATTCTAATATCCGCATGCACTTGTGCTGTTACCGTTTTAGCCTATTCTGCTTGCTTCATAGCTCTTCATGCTTCAAATTCCAATATGTTATTTGTAACTGGATTGAAAGTCTAGAGAGACCTAAATTAAACCGCGTTGAAAACGCTCTGTTGTATTTTTCAAATTGCAAAAAGTGCAAAGTTGTATTTTTTCTGCGCAAAATGGACTTTGAAACTCTTGAGCAATATTTGAATAGCTGAATCAATTCTACCCTCCGGCCATAATCGTGGGCATAAAGTCAATGAGGGTCAGGAAATTGATTCCTTTGCGGAAGGAAATTAAGTTTCAGAACCATTTAGATTTCTCACGTTATGAACCAAATTATAAATAGTAACAAAACGAATGCCATTTCACAAGAAATGTATCCATATTTAGCTATGGATATCCCATGATACGAGCGTTGAATATTTTGCCTTTATTCAAATTCTTTCTTCGTCGAGGCCCCTTTTCTGATGCAGAGTCAACATATTACTG